CTTTTAGCCCCCTTGGGTCCTACTTGGTATATTTTGGCAAACCTCTGACTCAGGTACTAAAACAAGTACAAATTTCTATATTTTATCTTCTTCCCTGACCATATTTTCTTCTATCTCTTTCCCCTAATCTTTTTCATCATTGGTATTTTCCATCCTGCCACTACCTTTTACAAATTTCTCTTCCTGAGTCCACTCTGCCTTTTCTCCTGTCTCAATTAATTTCCCTGTTTTTTCTTTGCCCCCAATGCCTTTCATCCAGATATTCCAGTTCTAGGTGCCTACTTCTAATCAATCAATTAAGAAGTATTGATTAAAGACATACTATATCCTAGGCATCATACCAGGCACTGGGGATGTAAATACAAAGAATGAAACAATCATTACTCTTAAGCTTATCTTGGTGGTGAAGGGAGACAATAAGGACAAATATGTGTGTGCATGTCCTTATAGTCATATATGTGTATACAATCAATATTGACTACACATATATTCACCTTCTACACAAATGCTCTGTTTTATCTACCCACACTTTCTTCCTCCCATGCTTTGCTATTTAGGCATCACCACGCTCCTTCTCCCCAGCTGTTACATCTATCCTATTAATTTATCTAAACTGAACCCTGATCCCTTCAGATTTCTCTCACTAAAATCTTTCTTCCCTTCCCAGTAATACTTCTTCTATCCTCATTTCTTCTCATTTGTCTGTCCCGTCTTCTGTCAAATGTTTGGTCCAAAGGAGAGCAAAGAGAAAATTAATATGGAAAGACAGGCAGGAGGAAGAGAAAGACAAGGGGATATGGGGGATAGAGGGAGGGAAAAAAGAAAGGATAAGAAAGACAACGAAAGATGGAAAGTGAAGTTGAGGAGAGGAAGCAGAAGAAAGGGAAAAAGTAGCTTGACTTAAAGATAAACTGGGGAAAAAATGATCTATGCAGGAGTATGAACATAAGAAGATTGTGGGCCAGGTGTACCCTGGGTGAATATTCCTTTTTGGTGTTTCCCCACCCCTGGTATGCTCTAGTCATAACTATAATCTGCAGTCAAAAAGCCAAACTCAGTCACTGTGTGGCCTAAGACAAATTACTGCACCTCTCAGCTCTCTGTTGTTTTGTTTGTTTGTTAATAAAATGAAGTTTTAGGCAAGAAAACCTCTCAGGTCCCTTCCAGCCAAAGTGTGATGGAAAATATTTAAAAATCAGCTCTTCAAAATTTAAGTAGCATCATTAATATTTTCTCCATCACTTTCTTAAACCTAGACAATTAACAAAACAATAAATAAAGTTCTAATTATTGGTGTTTACTGATTTCCAAACTATAAATGCTCACTGAAAATTTAACAATCAGCTCTCAGGCTGCATCTGGCTGTCTCACACCCTTGCTTCCAGTTCTAAACCCTATAATTCTATGATTAGATTATCTTTTAAGATAGGAGGCTTTAAACATTCATGAAAGGATGTGCTGCTGCACAGATCTCTTTTAGGTTCCTTGTATTTTTCTTAATTCTTTTTATAGCATTTTCCATATTACTCACAAAATCCTATCTGTACTTACTACCCTCACTAATGTTGAGTAAGTACAGAGAACTAAAATGCTAAACCTTTGTTAGCATTAACAATAAAGTTCAGAAACAGCTTTCCCTCTATAATAACTACTTTTACTGCACATTATAAGGTTTAGAATTACATACACATTTATCCAACTACAGTTTGGCCAACTTCAAGTCGAAGAAGTCGTATGCTTAACAATCCCACCCACATCCTGTTTTTTAATCAGTAGCAGTCTCTGTAATTCTGAAACTCAAGATCAGTGTCATAGACTATGGTCAGGAAATGACAACAGTGTCTTCAGAGCCAGTTATATCTAGCCAAAATTAGCTTATATATTCAGGCCTATTTTCAGAGCATTGAAGAAATCACCTCTTCTCTCATTTCTCCCTTTCTTCTTCATTCTTTTTCCCCTCCTTTCAATCTCTCTCTCTCTCTCTCTCTCTCTCTCTCTCTCTCTCTCTCTCTCTCTCTCTCTTTCTCTCTATTTCCCTATCTTTCTCCCTCTCCCTTACCCTCTCTCTCAGTGAAAGAAGCCATTCCATTAACAACACTAGCAATTAGTTACAAGTAGAACCGTACACCTATGGAGCAAAAATCATTAGCTTCCATATATAATTTCTCATCATAAAAAAGAAGCAAGGATGAAGCTTGAGTATTCCCACTCACTTGAATTAGGGTTCCTAAATAGGAGGCAAGGCAAGGCATTGGGTTACCTATTAAGAAACTTTCATCCCTTTACTGGCATGTCTTTCGGTCAGCTTCACATTCTGTCATTGCTAGGCTCTGGAGTTGGCTTGTAAGGAAAATTGACTAGGCATTCTTGGGTCATTTAGTGCCTTTAGTGCATTTATGACCAACTTTAATCTATTGTCATATATAATCAAAATGAGTTTAAGCCAGCAAATGGAAATAACTACCCATATTACCCAACCTAGTAGGGCAGTTATATAATCTGTATATTAACCTTAGTCACTAATAACCCATAATTAATATATCCAAACTTCATCTCTCCTGGACTCTAATTCCATATCACCAACTTCCTGCTGTAGATTTGTACCAGGATGTACAGAGATATCTCAAAATCAACCTATGCTATATGAAATTCATTATCTTTCCCCAAAATTTGACCCCTCTTCCTAAATGTACTAGCTCTGTCAAAAGTACCATCACCTTCCAGTCACTCAAGTTTGCAACCTCAGAATAATATTCAATTCTGTATTCTCCTCCATACCCCATATCCAATGAGTTGCCAAGTCTGGCCAATTTTACCTTTACAACATTTCTCACATCTGTCCCTTTCTACCACCACCCTAATTCATATCCTCATGATTTTTATCTGGACTTTTCCAATAGCATCCTATTTGGTCTCCTTGCTTCTGGTCTCATGATTCTCCATTCTCTCCTTCAAACAATGACAAATTGATATGACTGAAACACAAGTCTGATCTGGTCACTTCACTATTCAAGAAGGTTCTTGACCTTGAATGACTAGAATTACCTGTAGGAACAGACTAGATGGCTTTTGAGGTCCCTTCCAGCTTCATATCTGTGATCCTGTGGGAGGGCCCATAATATGATGTAAAAAAAGATGTTAGGCATAAATAAGTCGGCTACAGAATGTTACCCACAAAACCTTGTACTAGAAAAGTTGTATATAAGATATTATCCAGGACATACTTCCTCCCCTCTGACACCACCTCTCAATTCTGTACATGTCTGGTTTGTAACTATTTATATCTTGTCATCTCCATAGATGGTAAGGTTCATGAGGGCAGGGCCTGTTTTTGTCTTTCTTGTATCCCCAAAACTAAGCACAGTACCTGGTAAAAACTTATTGACTATTGACTGGTAGACCATATTTTGGAAAAAGAAAATGATCTAATGTGCCATTTCAGTTAGAAAAGCTAGATCATGAGTAATTTTCCCTCACTTCCCCAAAGCCTACAAATTTCATGATGGCCTTTGTATGCATCAAATACAATAGTGCCCTTGCTTCCTATGTTCTTACCGCCTGATGTTAGAGATTGGTCTTCTTAAATCTATTAACTTCTCTCCAATTTTTCTCCTACTTCAATATTGAAAGGATCTGTGATTTCATTGACATATATCACAACCCCTTCTACCTTTGTGACCTTGGACAACTTATTCTACCCTAAACATGACATTCCATCTCTTGACTGTAACTTTGTACATCAGGGACAGCTTTTCCCTTCCTGCCCCAAACTACTTTGTACGTATTTTTTATTGGCATAGCTATATATGTAATTTTCTATCCCCAACCCCCATGTAGAATGTCATTTCACTGGGGGCGGGGACTGTTCTGCTTTGTAGCATAGTGCCTTGAACATAGTAGGCATCTAATAAATGTTTTCTATATGAGTGAATGAATGGAACTCAACTTCTCTGGGCCACAGTTTCCTCATCTGTAAGATGAAAGGGTTGAACTTGAGGGCCTCCAAGGTCATTTCCAGCTCTAAACCCATGATCCTCAGTCACTTGACATGTAAGATGAGGCAACTGGAAGATGATTCTTAGGTTCCTTTATAATTCAAAATCTATGGCTCTGTGACCTCACAAATGGCCATAAAGATTGGTTATGGCTAGAAAAATGCATCACCCAGTTGCCATCCTCATCTTTGGCCTCTCTAACCTCAGTTAGTCGGTGCTTGGATAAAAAGGCCTACAGTCCATCAATCAGCCTGTGCATAAAGCTTTTTAATTTGGTAGGACTTGCTTATGATCTCTTTCCATATATCCCTCTATAACCCAAGGTTACCTCTGTACCACAGTGGGCCACTGGAGTCATAATAGCCTGAAATGATTATAGACTATAGTGAAACTAGTGTATGTCATGATTTTCATCCCCTTAGATATATTCTGGTAATTTAAAAGTATATTTGATATCCTAAGCAATAAGAGAATTCTTTCACTACTCTAGGGTGCTCTGAAACAGAAATTTTCTGAGTACTGACCCAGGGACCTCAAAAATGGAGTACATCATCAAAAGGGGAGTAAATTGAGACCTGAGAGAGATATTGGTTAAGTCATGCCCACAGTCTTCCTTTCCCATGTATTAGCCCAGGTTCTCATAATGTCTACTTACAACTTTTGGTTTCCTGTCTTGTGTAAAGTGACAAAATGTGTTTTTCGCTATGCCTTTAATTGCTGATATTCTGTATTTCCTAAAGGGTATGGTAAGGTCCACAGAAATGCTGATTATTTGGGGGCTGATTTTTAGATTTCCTGTGAGTTGTTCATGAAGCAGCTATCAAGATGCATGAGGTTTTAAATTCAGTTTTCCTGAAATAAATAAAGCTTATTTATTTCTACTGGCTCTTAGAGGGGTACGATTAACTTGAAATACTGCATTCATTTGCACCAGCAGTTAGTCTGATTGGTCTATCGCAAGCCTGGAGAGAAATAATTACATCTAGAGAAAAACAACAGACTCAGTTTGGACTTATTTGGCATCATCTCTCAAAATGTTGGTACTGAGCATAATTTATTGGTAAGAAATAAGGCTATCAATTGCCCTCAAAATGAACAAGTCAGAAAACTTGCTAGTGGATGTCCAGAATAACAGAAACAATCAGAACTTTCTTTCCACATAATTTTTTTTTCCCAAATAGAGAATAATAACTAAAGATGGTATGTCTATGCAATACCCCAAACCTGTATATTTAAATCCTTCCTTATGTGTAGCATAATAGTACAAGGGAGTGTCCTATGAAAACTTGGTATCACCAAAGCAGTATCAAATAATATTTATTGGAAGGCCAATTATACATTTCTTTCACATAAATTCTATATTACTATGAATTTGGAAAAGCTTTTTTAATACCACAGTAGGAAAAGATTTTAATTATAAATGTTATCAGTTTTTCTTAACTCTACCTGCTTGCTCTCCCTTTAGGAAAATTATAAATTTTCAATGTTTCCCCAAAATTATAAAACTTTTTAATTATCTTTGAAGTTTATTCATGTCTGGTAGTAGACCCACATGGACTCTGCAAACTCCTCTTTCCCTTTTCCCTCCCCCTCCCTCACAAAAATATGTAATATTTGAAAAACTGAAGGATTATTACTGGTAGCTCAGATGATTTACTCCAGGGTGAAAATAACAATCACCTTCATCCCAGGAGCTATGAAGCCTAAGTTATTGTGCACCCTGATGGATAGTAAACACAGAAGAGTGTTCAAAAAGGCACAGCTAGAATATGGGAGGTGACAGGGAGAAATGTCTTGGGATAAAATTCTTAGGCCTTTTGGACAATGGACAGAAAATCATCACAAAACCTAGGTATGTTGCCAAGGGATCCAATCCCTATTCCATCCTCAGGAAGGAGCACACTTGAACTAGCCTTGGGAGATAAGAATCTCTGATGTTTTTAAAGGTTTCGTGTGAAGGAAAACTAATAATTACCCTCAGCAACCCATTTCAAGTCTTGATAACCCCCTTTGTCAGGAAATGTGTATCCTGATTCCCAAGCTGAATTTGGCCTGACACATCTTTAATGATCTTCTCTTATTCTGTCCCTCAGCAGCATGGAGAATTACTGGTCTCTAACATCTGCTATAAATTTATACATTTAAATATATATTTTGACATTCCTTGATTTTAAAGCATTTCCAGACTGCACTTTGGTCTTAGGCAAACCCACTAAAAAGCCTGTGGAAAAAATATTCCAAGCAGTCATATTACTTGAGGCATCCATTTTTTTCTAATTTGAGTCAAAAAGTCTCAAACTTATTTTTCACATGGACAATCTAGATAATAAATATTCCTTTCCTTACATAGGCAACATCAGATGTGGCATACACTTTCTCATAACCAAGTCTATCCCCAACAATTTATTTAAGTGGGATAATCAAAGTCATCGAGTACAACCCCTTCATTTAATAGATCCTCATCTATAAAAGGCCCAGAGAGGTTAAGTGAGTTGCCCAAAGTCACCCAGGTAGTAAGGAGAAGATCTGGACTCACGTCCCTTCCAAATTTAGTTGGTTGAAGAACAATTTAAAACAACAACAACAGCAACAGCAACAAAATGTAGATGAATCATTTAAATAAGGGCCACTTCTGCCTTGAGGTCCCATGTCAGTTTCCGAAGCCATCTCCTCACTTGTACTGAGCTGGGTGGAGCTGAAGTTCGGATGGTCCAACACGTTTTCATCATTGCCACTCCTTGTGGGATGAGCGCATTGGAAAAGGGCTCCTCCCTTGTCAAAATCGGCTCTCTTCCTCTTCCACTGCTCGGTGCAGGCCAGGAATGAATTTCAAAAGCTGTTTCCGAACACTTCCCCTTCTGCTTTTTCGTGGCAGAGTCCCAAACACACTGACTAAATTGGTGCCACTACCTTCCCACAAGGGGGACATGGAGCCGCTGCTAGCAGTACTGATGTTCCTGTTCCTCCTGGTGGAAGGTTTCCTCAGCGCCATCTCGCCATCCTTGAGGAAAAAACACTCATCCTCCATGCTCGTCTGCCGGCTCAGGGCTTCCTGGCACGAATCCTCAGACATGCACGTTTGGTAACCATCCTCACTCTCCATAGTCATGGAGCTCAACCAGCTCTTACAGCTGCTTTCACTGGAAAGGCGGTTGTTGCGGTTCTGGTAAGTGGCAGCCAGTCCCGATGAGCTTTCGGCTAAAGATTCTTCTGATTGCAAACTTTCCAGTCCTGAGCTGTCAACTACATCGCCTAAGAATAAGAAAATAAGCCAGTCATCATATGGAATGGCTATGAAATCCCTCTGCGTACAGATTTGGTAAAAACCCAGCTTCCCTCCATAACAACTCAGATTTCTGTAGTGAACTGCAGCCCTGTGAAGTAGGGAGCGTCAGTGTAATCTGTAGGTGAAACTTAGGCTTAGAGAGATGAAGGGATTCGGTTAAGGTCATGGCTAGTAAGCATCAGAGACAGATCATCTTATTCCATATCCAAGACTTTCCTTTACGTCAGGTTATTATTGTATCCTAAAGACAATGACCATTCCTCAACCTGCCATTATTTCTCAAAAACAAGAAAGAAGAAAAATACAAAAAATCAACATTTTTCATTATAATGTGTCTTGGGTGAGTGGTCCTTTAAAAGTCTGCCCAGAGGAATGCAAATATTCAAATTAGGCTTTGAAGTTACCTCGTTCATTCATTCAAGTGTCCACAATGAGCACATAACCATCCAGGATGGTAAATAGGTAAATTTTAATTATTAGTTCCTAACTTTAGAAAGTTTGAATTCTCCGTTCTTGGAAAACCCATTAAGGAATATACAGAATATCATCCATCTGCACTGATGTCCTAATAATTATGAAGCTTTGCTAAAAAAAAAAAATGCAGATATAAACAGTGGTGATATAAATATCTTGAGCTTTATTTCCACCCAATCTTTGTTCAAGGTGGTCCTTTCTGAAATTCCACCCTCTCCCAACACACACACACACACACACACACACACACACACACACACACACACACAGAGGAAGTCATCTTATGTCATAGCACTTCAAATTCTTTTTATGTACTAATATTTTATTTTGTTTTATGTTGATCTTCAAACAACTACTAGCTATCTGACCATGATCAAGTCATTTAACCTGTCAAGTAGAGAAAATACTTCCCCCTAATAGGGCAGTTGTAAGGAAAGCATGTTATAAACTTTATACCACTATAAGGCAAACTATTATTACTATTTTTGTAACATATCATCTCATTAGACTATCGGTTCTCTAAGGATAGGGCCTATGTCTTCTTTTTTCCTGAATTTTCCTCTTTCTGCCTAGTACAGTAGTGCTACATATAATAGACAATGAACAAAGGTTTATTGAATGAATTGATGAATGAATGAATGAATGAACGGATTTGAAAGAGAAACAGTACTAGGGTCTCTCCCAGTATGCAAATCATACAGACACCCACAATTTATCTTTGGGCATATATACTTCATGTTTCAACATTATCACTTAATATTCACTGAGTACCCATAGCATACATGCCATTTGGCTAGGTACTTCAGAGTAAAGATATTTAACTAAGAAATTATTCCCATTCTAATAGAATTCATTTCATAAAAGGTGTAGCCAAGACAATAAGCTAGAATCAGTTCTCAACTGTTCCCATATAGATTATGCTCACATTTTTACTACCAAGATAGATTTTAGTTCATACCCAACATGTTTTTTGAGCCAAGTCTACCCATGGGAAAATAGAAACTAATTGTAATATCCACTTAAACAAAACATAATTGCTTAGGGAAATCTGCTGCACAAAAATAATATAGTATATTCTGAAGCTAAATATATATGCATGTATATATGTATGCATGTATATATACATATATGTATGTACATGTGTATATATAGATATATGCATGCATATATCTATATATGTGTGTGTGTGTGTGTATATATATATATATATACAGACATATGTGTATATGTATAAGTGAGGCAGCTAGATGGTTCATTGGATAGAGCTAGAGAAGACTCAAGCTCAAATCCAGCCTCAGACACTTAATAGCAGTGTGACCTTGGGCAAATCACTTAACCTCTGTTTGCCTTAATCCACTGGAAAAGGAAATGGCAAACCACACCACTATCTTTGCCAAGAAAACCCCCTCGACCGTGTAGTCCATGGGGACATTACTGAATGGCTGAAAAACAACAAATTTTACATATATATGGATATACACACATATGTATGTATAAATAAAGGTTTGCTATATGAATAATTGAATGATTGAATGAATTTAAAAGAGAAACATAGTTCTGGGCATCTACATCAAGCAAATCATGTACAAACAAAATAGATACAAAATAAACTGGGGAACACCAACAAAGGGAAGGCTCTTAGGAAAGTCTTCTTTAGAAAGTGGACTTTTAGCTGGGACTTGAAGGAAACTGAGGAAGCTACAAGGCCGAGGAGAGGAGGGAAAGAATTCCAGGCAAGGGAGACAGTCAATGAAGGAGATGGAATGTTGTGTGAAAGGACTATCAAGGAATGTCAAGGAAGCCAGCATCACTGGATCATAGAGTAGAAGAAGGGAATAAATGTGAGGAAACCAGAAAAGTCAGAAAGGACAAGGTAATAAAGTGCTTTAAAAGCCAAAAAGAAGTTTTTATATTTGATTCTGGAGGTAAGCAGGAACCACTGTAGTGAGGGGCATGACATGATTAGACATGCACTTGAGGAAGATCACTTTGGTAAGGCTGAGTGAAGGAAAGGGTAGAAACTTGACTAGACTATCAACAGACTCTAAACTAGACTATTGAATCTGGCCTTTATAGAATGTTACTTGAGGAAGACACTACCTGAAATTCACACACCCCCACAAGTAGTGGTTTGAGTCAACCAGCTCTCTGGACAAGCTTTTTCCTCAAACCTACACCAGCCCCAGGAAACATCAAATTCACAACTTGTTCTTAAACTGGCTCTTTCCTGTTCTGAAAGTACAAAATGGCAGGAAATGAAAGAGCTGTGTTCCAACATTGTCAGTTCTCTCCCTCTGTTTCTGTCTTGACAGCCACAGCAAGGTCTAATGAAGCAAACAACTGACTTAAGAGTAACCGAGACCAGAATCAGAAACCTTAAGTGTTGGAAGGGTCCTAAAAGGCCATCTGGTGCAACACATTTGAATAAGAATCCTCTTGACAATATAACTCACCAACCAAGTGTTCATTAGCTTGAAAACCCTCTGAAGACCTGGATTTACCTCCTAACTCTACTTCTCATGTGACTATGGGGAAGGTTAGAACTGGCCACAGCATTTAAAAATGGAAAGGACTTTCAGTCAAGAAACTTGCCCAAAGGAAAGGGAATAAGTATTTATATAGCTCCAGGCACTCTGCTAAGCACTTTACAAATATTACCTCACTTAATCCTCACAAAAAACTTTCAAAGTAGTTACTATTATTATCGATATTTTACAGTTCAGGAAAACTGAAGCAAACAGAGGTTAAGTGATTTGTCCAGGGTAACAAAGCTAATAAGTGTCTGTGGTTGGTCAGGTCTCCCTGCCTCCAGGCCCAGCTCACTATCCTCTGAGTCACCTAGCTTTAATATAGCAAAGGTAGTAAATAGCAAAACCATAATTTAGCCCAAGTTTTCTACTTCAAAATATGTTGCTCTTTCCAATGCAACATAATATTTCTAATGTCCTTTCCAAATCTAGCTTTCCATGAACTTAGGATTCTTCCATCTTTTCCCTGAATGGAAGCCATGAAAAACAAAAGATAAAAAAGGTAAATCCCTCAAGTCTAAGTGTCATGTATGACCTACAGAAACACTATCCACAAATTTTCCCAGGTGTACAACTGAGTAACTGAAGAGTCAGGAATGGAAGACAATTTTCCAAGTTGCTATCCATCTGCCTCTAATATAAAAATGTGCATGTTAGGGAAGGGATATCAGTGCTAATGTAAGGTTCCCTTAAATGACAATGACCTTAAAACACTTTAGCATCAATTCCTGCTGAAGGCCTTGTGCAAATAATGAGATGAGACTGTGGTTTCTGAGCAGGAAACCAGAATTTACCATGAAGCAGGCGCTGTTCCTGTAACTGCAAAGCTCGGAACTCCACCCATTTTTCTCTCAAGGTTTGCTGCAAGAAAACAGAAAAAAAAAGAAGTTACTAGCTAGTGAAGAGCTCTGAAGGATCACATGACATAGAGCTCAGAGGGGCATTATAGGTCATACCATCGACTTAATATTACAGATGAAGAAACTAAGACCAGAGAGATTAACTTGCCCTATGACTCACCCAGGATCACATAGCTATCAAGTGACAGAACTGGGTCTTAATCAACAAGCATTTAATAACACTGCTTTAAGACAGGCCTTGTGCTAGCCACTGAGGACTCAAGCACTAAAGTTCAACACATCCTGTCCTCAAGGAACTTCCATTCTACAGAGGCTTGCCACCACGCACATGTAGAAGTATATGCCAGACACATACAAAACAATTATAAGGTAACCTTTGGTAGAGGTGGGGGTAGGGGCTAGGACAAAGGCTTAAGTTGAGTATTGAAGGAAACCAAGCATTCCAAGTGGTGGAAGCAGATCCATTATAGGCAAAGGAAACAACCAGTACAAAGACAAAGGGAGTTTCACACGTGGGGAATACCACGAAGGATCAAGGATAAATTCCAGTAGACAAGAGGGAGTAATGTGTAATAAGGAAGAAAAGTTAGGATAGAACCAGGTTCTGAAGACCTTTAAATGCCATTGGGGGAATTTATTTGATCCTCAGAATTAGGGAGTAGGTGGGTAACATGATCACACCCAAACTTTAGAAGGATCACTTTGGTGACCTCAACTGATATTCTTTCATTCTAAGGCCAATGCTTTTTTCCTCTGCAACATTACCCTGCAGTAGTTTACTTCAAGGAAGTAGGATTTTGGAATTAGCTTCTCCCCTCTCCTCCTTTTTTGGTGTGTATACGTATACGTGTAACTGTCAATATTACCAGCTAGATCTTTATTTTAGATAAGTAACTTTCTTTCAGTAAAACCACCCCATGCATGTGCAAAGATTGTTAAATAAATTATGAGATATGGGTTTTGGGATGTCATATTTTGGCCCATGAAAACATGTGACAATGATATGAAGGTCATGTTGGTACCAAAGACTCATTTTTATGCAAAATATGTATGAGGGGAGGTATAGACTAAAAAGCAGAAAGCAAAAAGGAGGGGCAAAGGATGAATTCACACAAAGAAGTTGATAAAATCTGCCAAAGGCAACTAAGCTTATTTCCAAATTTCTATAGATTCTGCACACTAATCAACTTTAATTTCTCAATGTCAGGTAACTCAACAGTGACATATTTTACAGGAGTACTTGTGTCTGCCAATATACTATGTAGCTACTGCGCTCTTGCTAATCAAAACAATAAAAGGCCTGGCTTGGTTCATTTCTAGCTCTTTATGGACTAAGACAGTGGCGGCTATGAGCCTGCCTCACTCCCTGAATCATAGCTTTTGTTGCCAGTCCAGCACCGGCTGCACTTGGAGGTCATGCTCAGAGTCCTAGGGCATGTGAGGCCCACATGGCACGTGTTCCACTGCCCCACCCCCATAGAGAGAAACTCCACCGCCACAAGCCTTTACCCTTTCACCTCCTGACATAGAGTAGGGCACCACAAACGGAAGAAGCAAACGATGACTGGGGGAAGTTGCAGTTTGCTTTTTGATCTTGAACCTGTGATTTCATTGGTAAGAGGAACTTCTGGTATGGAAACTGCCTCCAGTAATGCAGACTGGCAATTAAATTGTAGCTAAAGAGTCTCTTACAGTCTTAAAGGGTTGCCTGAGTTACTGGGAATTTCAAGGATTCGCCTATGATCTCACAGCTAGTGTGTGTCAGAGGAGGCAAAACTTGAAGTCATATCTCTCTGAATCGACAGGTGGGACCCGCCATACACTACACCATACTGCCTCTCACTTCTGGCTTTACTAACCAGATAGAGCAGACCAGAGTTTGCCAGCTAGATTAATTAGATTTTTTAAAAATTTCCAGTCACTAGGACTCAGCAGTTTTTGTAGGTCAATCAATAAAACATAAGGCATTGCTTAAACTGAAAGAAAAAAAAGAATAAAGCATTTTTTTAAAAAGCTGCAGAGAATTTTCTAGTTTTATCCAGGTTTCTGGTTAATTTGTCTCTAAATTCTCCTCTTCTCTGCAGACCTTGTATCTGCCTTGGTGCAATATCTGTAGACGACGTGTGACTTAAACTCCTATATTGATACAGAAATGAAAAGCATCTTTCTGACTCTGACTTCCATATATATACTCCCTGACTTTCTCCCTGACATACTCCCTGCATACACATACATCAACTCCCTGACTTTCTGTGAAATATTCCAGTATCGACATATTTCTCCAGTTTTAAGGAAAGGACCAAAATCTTCAACTAAGAAACAGTTACATGATAATGATGACATCATTAATAATAATCATGCCACTGCATCCTTTAGTAGCACTCTCTGTGATAAGCACACAATCTTAACTTATCACTTCCAACACTGCTGTGAGATCATCACAAAAGATGCTTAGGCTTTTTCTACAAGCAGGGTAACTGAAAGTCTGAAAATTCAGCAACTTGCCCAAAGGCACAGAATAAGAGCTTTCTAGGTTTCTTAACTATTGCCCAGCATATTCCATTAGTTCCCCAAAATGGAACAAAAGTGAACTCTACAAAGATAGATCAGATATTGTGTGACCTTAGGCAAGTCACTTAACCTCCCTGGGCCTCAGTTTCTTCATCTGTAAAATGAAAGTGTTAGAAAAAACAGCCTCAGAGATCACTTCCAGTTTTAGACCTATGATCCTATGACCAGTACTTCCAAAAACATCCCGTTAGAAAAACAGATTTGAAAAGGGTAGCTTTGAAATTCACATGTTGAATTTCTATCTTTTTTTTTTAAAGCAAGTTACATGGTTTCACATACAAAGATTTTTAAGGTCCTTTATCCCACAAACAGAGTCCTTGAACTATAGAAAAGACAGTCCCAAGCAGGCTACACAAAGTTAAGGTGACCTAGTACTGGAACCTAATCTGACCCTGTTCAAAGCAATGACCCAAGAAATAGCCTTTTCTTTCATTCTTTGGCAGATCTGGGACCACACTTATGTGAATATTCCCTATCAGTGTATATCACAAACATCCTGTGTATTTTCTAAGAACTTATTATTTGCCAGATACTGTGGGAAGAGCTGGAAATGTAAATAGAAAAACTGAAACAATCCTTACTCTCAAGAAGCTGACATTCTCACGGGGGAGGCAACACGGACATAGAAAAATATGGACAGCATAAATATATACAGACTAAATACAAAAGGAATCCAATGTAATTAGGGAAAGCAGAAATTGGCGATTGGGAATGTCAGGAAAGGCTTCATGTAGAAGGTAGTTCTTCAGTTGTGTCTTCAAGGAAGAGAGGGTTTCTATGAAGTGGAGGTGAGGACACTGCCAGTGCAAAGTGTGGAGATAGGAAGAGTGCTGTGCATGAGAAACAACAAGAAGGCCAACTGAGCTGCACTGTAGAATACAGAAAGGAAATTGGTATGTAAGGCTAGAAAGATATGTTGAAAGCCATACTATAATTCCAAATTGCTCTCCAAAATGCCCATCACTTGAGGAATGGCTGACCAAGTTGTGGTGTGTGATTGTGATGGAATACTATTGTGCTGTGAGAAATAATGAGCTCAATGATCTTAGAAAAACATGGAAAGACCGGCATGAAATAATGAAGAGCAAAATGAGCAGAATCAGGAGAACATTTTATACAGTAACAGCAATATTGCTTTTTTGTTTTGTTTTGCTTTTTTAGGTGAGAGATGGGATTTTTAAAAAATATATATATTTATTTATTTTTAGTTTTCAACATTCATTTCACAAGATTTTGAGTTCTAAATTTTCTCCCCATCTCACCTCTCCCCCTACCCCAAAATGGCATGTATTCTGAATAGCCCTTCCCCTAATCTGCCCTCCCTTCTATCACTTCTCCCTTCTCTTATCCCCTTCCCCTTCTATTTTCCTGTAGAGCAGGAAAGATTTCTATACCCCACTGCCTGTGTATCTTATTCACCAGTTGCATGTAAAAACAATTTTTAACATTTGTTTTTTAAAACTTTGGGTTCCAAACTCTCTCCTTTCCTCCCTCCCCACCCACCCTCATTGAGATGGCAAGCAACTTGATGCAGGTTACACATGTGTAGTCATGCAAAACACTTCCATAGTAGTCATGTTGTGAAAAACTAACTATATTTTCCTTCATCCTATCCCACTCCCAGTTTATTCTATTCTCTCTTTTGATCTTGTCCCTCCTCAGAAGTGTTTGCTTCTGATTACCCCTTCCCCCAATCTACCTTCCTATTTCCTGTAGGGTAAGATAGATTTCCATACCCAATTGAGTGTGTGTGTTATTCCCTCCTTAAGCCAAATCCAACAAGAATAAGATTCACTCATTCTCTCTCACCTTCCCCCACTTCCCCTCCACTGTAAAAGCTTTTTCTAGTCTGTTTAATGTGAGATAATTTGCCCCATTTTACTTCTCTCTTTCTCATTCTCCCAGTATAATTCTCTCTCACACTTTAATTTTATTTTTTAGATATCACCCCTTCATCTTCAACTCACCCTGTGCCATCTAGCTATCATCTATCTATCTATCTATCTATCTATCTATCTATCTATCTATCTATCTATCCATATATTTTTCCCTCCAACTACACTAATACTGACAAAGGTCTCATGAGTTATAAATATCATCTTTCCATGTAGGAATGTAAACAGTTCAACTTTAATAAATCCCTTATGATTTCTCTTTCCTGTTTACCTTTTCATGTTTCTTTTGAATCTTGTATTTGAAAGTCAAATTTTCTATTCAGCTCTGGTCTTTTCATCAAGAATGCTTGAAAGTCTTCTGTTTCACTGAACGTCCATTTTTCCCCTGAAGGATTATACTCAGTTTTGCTGGGTAGGTGATATTTGGTTTTAATCCTAGCTCCTTTGACCTCTGGAGTATCATATTCCAAGCCCTATGATCCCTTAATATAGAAGCTACTAAATCTGTTATTCTGATTGTGTTTCTACAAGACTT